CTGTCCCTGTCCCTGTCCCTGTCCCTGTCCCTGTCCCTATCCCCTGTTCCCTGTCCCCTATCCCCTGTCCCCTGTCCCTATCCCCTGTCCCTATCCCCTGTTCCCTGTCCCTGTCCCTGTCCCTGTCCCCTATCCCCTATCCCCCGTCCCTATCCCCTGTTCCCTCTCCCCTGTCCCCGTCCCCTGTCCCTGTCCCTGTTCCCTGTCCCTGTTCCCTGTTCCCTGTCCCTGTCCCTATCCCTGTCCCCCAGGGGCGTCACATCCTGCGGGATGGGGGAGGGGGGGACACGGGGCAGGGGCTGGTGCTCAGGGGAGTCATGGGGGTCCCCAATTCAGGGTCAGGGGGGTCCCCAATACTGAGGGGGGTCACGGGGGTCCCCAGTTTAGGATCGTGGGGGTTCCCAGTGCAGGGTTATGGGGGTCCCCAGTGCTGAGGGGGGTCAAGAGGGTCCCCAATTCAGGATCATGGGGGTCCCCAGTGCTGAGGGGCATCCAGGGGGTCCCTGGTGCAGGGTTAGGGGGGGTCCCCAATTCAGGATCGTGGGGGTCCCCAGTTTAGGATCAAGGGGGTCTCCAGTTTAGGATCAAGGGGGTCTCCAGTGCAGGGTCAGGGGGGTCCCCAGGGCATCAAGGGGGTCCCGGGTGCTGAGCAGGACCAGGGGGGTGGGTGCAGAGCCCTTGGATCCCAACCCTGGGTACCAGCTGTGCCCCCCCGGGATATCACCTGTGCCCCCCCCGGATATCCCCCGTGTCCCTCCCCTGGGGATATAACCCACGCCCCCCCAGGGTGACACCCTGTCCCCCCCCGATAACCCCCCCCTGGGGCACTCCCGGGATCAGGGCGGGGCCCCCCCAGGCCCCAACGGGCACGGGGGGGGTGGCACCTCCCTGATGCCCCCAAACCCCCCCAAACCCGCAGCCCCCCCCGGGCAACCGGAGCTCTCTGGACCTGGAGGAGCTCCTGGGCGGGCTCTCCTACGGCGGTGCCACCAATGCCACCTACGGGGACTACGGTGACCCCAACGCCACCTACCTGGACTACGGCGGTGCCAGCCCGTGCCGCAGCCGCTTCTGCCCGCTCCTGCAGCGCCTGGCACCTCCCTTCCTGGCCGTGTCCTGCTCGGCGGCCGCGCTGGGCACCGCGGCGCTGCTGCTGGCGCTGCTGAGGTGCCCCCCCCGAGCCTGGCAGCGGCCGCCGGGCCGGGCGCTGGTGGCCCAGCAGGCTCTGGGCACGGCGCTGGTGGTGGCCCCGCTGCCGGCGCTGGCCGCGGGCATCGCTCGGGGCTGGCACCTCGGCGCGGGGCTGTGCCGCCTCGCCCGCCTGCTCTGGCACTGGGGGGTCTTCGCCCAGGCCCTGCTGTGGCACCGGGGGGTCTGTGGCACAGCGTGCGGGCGGTGGGACCCGCGGTGCGTGGCTGTCACCCCCTGGGCCGTGGCGCTGGCGGCGGCGGTGCCCGCGGCGCTGGCGGGGGGCACCGTGGAGGGCACGGCGTGCGTGGGGCGGGCGGTGGGCGCCCTGCACGCTGCCTACCTGCTGCACGTGGGCACCCTCGTGGCCCTGCTGGTCCTGCTGCCCTTGGCCGCGCTGGCCGGTGGCACTGGTGGCACTGGTGGCGCCGGTGGCACTGCCCGCTGGGTGTTCCTGGCGCTGTGGGCACCGTACGGGGCAGGGCTGGCGGTCGAGCTGCTGCTCCACGCGGGGCCGCTGGTGCCCTCCTGTGCCACCCTCGAGGGTTTTGATCACCTGCTGGGGGTGAGTGAGGGGCTGGGGGTCCTGCACTGTGCCCTGGCACCGCCCCTGCTGCTGCTGCCCGCCCTGGGCCGGCGCGGAGCGGGCACGGCCGGGGGGTGAGAGGGGCGGGGGGGCGGGCACGGAGGATCCTGAGGGACGCTGGCGCCTTGGCACCGGTGCTCGGTTTGGTGGGACCGATCCCTGACACCCCCGGCACCAACCCCTGGCTCCC